CTTGTTGCATGGCATGAACTTTTGTGGCGAGGCATAATCGCCCACGTCAGTCGGCAAGGCACCTGATGATGATGATGATGATGATACACTATTCGTATTCGTATTCGGCCGAACAGTTGGTCCCACTATTCTTATTCAGCCGAATAGTGAAAATCACTATTCGGTATTGCCCTAATGACAACCACGGTGATGATAATGAGCACTGTGTCGTTCAGAAACGAAAGACAAAATACCGAAGGTAAAGTTACCTTGCAACATTTACTTGTAGCAGAGATGTGCTTTCTAAGAAGAATACAAAGAATGTAATGGAAGAGTAGGAAAAAAAAAACGAAGCAGTCATCATTGAGACATCTTATTAGAAAAATTAGACTTAGACAGTGTATGTGTTTTGGCCATATTAGGAAAAGGAATTGTCTCGCGAACTTGGAACCAACTGGCGATATTGATGAAACATAGGGCAAGATATAGACACAGATTTAACCTGGATGGCCTGGCCAGATGGATGGGGCGAGTCAAAAACGTTGAACTGATCCGTGACAGACGTAGAAGATGTACATTTAGAAATAAAAAAAACAAATATGGGGGTGCATTGGACAAGACCTCATAATAAAGAAAGAGTAAGGGTCGAGACACGCAATGCAGTGGACACCACAAGGAAACGAGAAAGAAGCAGGCCCTGAGGCACTTTGAGGCTGAACGAAAGGTTACGCTAGGGACACAACTGGAGTAGAGCTCAGGATCGAAGTGAGAGGCGACAGCTTGTCTCTGCCTTATGTGCCTCCGGCACGGCATATGATCATGATGATGTAAATTGCCTTTAAAAAAACCATAGGACCATGAATGCCGTGTTCGTTTTGTGAAGTCCCGAAAAAGATATGCCAGTAAACTCCCCCCCCCCCTTTCCCCCGCCAAACAAAAATACTGCAAATTACTGCCTTTATTTTACTACTGTTGCGGTGCAGGCAGGTGGGTCTTGGAGCCTAACGAATCACGGCCGCGAGGCTAGTGCTGTTGCCACGGCTGTGCAGGGGAGGATTTTATATGCCCCTTGACAGAAAAAAATTTCCAGCCTTACCGAGGATTTGAACCAGGGTCTCCCTTTTGAGAGCCCAGTGTTGCAATCGTTCGGCCGTTAACAAGACACCAGCAGTTCTGATACCTACCAGCACAAGACTACAGGTTACACCAGGCGGGTGTGGCTGTATAGATGCCCACATTGTTACTTCTTTGGAGACTGAACAGATTATCTGGGATTTTCCGATTTGGTTTGTTATTTATGTGTTAATCTCAGGGTGCTGAAACCTTCAGGCAGCAGCCCCGAGGGAAGAGAAGAAAGGGAAGTTCATTATTGCTTTAGCATCTGTGTTTTCTTCACTAGAGTTAAAACCGGAGTAGTTCATCATCACTGTAATGACCTCTTCATCATGTCTTTCCCTCCTGTTTTGGTCAAGTCTGTGTCTTCCAATCAAGAACAGTGAATGCGTATTTCGGTGCATGGATGTATACTGGAATGGTTCTCCTTCTCTTGAATCACCTTCTCGTTTTCTCTATCGTTGTTGTTCTTACCCTGTCTGTGTCTACTAATTAGGAAAACCATAGTGCTTTGCTGTAAATGAGAATTGAAACCAAAGCGGACCATATTATATGGGTCTGAAATAATGATAGCTTACCCTGAAACCTAAAGGAAACTTGCCCATACCTTTACACATATTGGTCATACAAGGCTAGACCTATATTTTATAGACCAATCGGCACTTGGGGGTGATGCGGTCAACATCACGCTGGCCACCTTTACTTCCCAGGACTTTCCCCGGTACTCACTTAAGGCTGGGTGGACTTGAAAACTAAGGCCATTTTTTGAAGAAAAAAAGTCTGGCTCCATCAGTACCTGAGCCAGACCTTCCGATCCTAGATTGGTGAGCGGCTAGCCGCTACACCACGGCGTCTCCCTTACTCTAAAACATTAAGTTGAAAAAAATATCAAGTTAACGTATAACCATGACCGGCTCCAGCTGACAGGCCGTGCTGGTGACGAACAAGGGTGGGGCTAATGATGCGTTTTCGCATAGAGAACCCATAATAGAAACTTCAAGCCTGAATGTAGGTACTCGTCATCATATTTCAAATGGCAAGAGGTCGACATGATAATTCCATATTCCTCACTAAGTGTGGTATCAATATTTGATTTGATATTCTCATTTTTGCCATTTAGCTTGGACTAGAACCTATCTGACCTGTTGTCTAGGATTTACATATGACGTTGAATAGATTATTTCTTTCAGCACATTTCACCCTACTGAATTTCTCCTGATATTTCGTAAGTCTGGCGACCTTCTCAATGTTCTGTTTTACTGACAAGTATATCTTGCTTCGTTAAAATATCAAAGAGTTTTTAAATTGTCTGCTGTCTTCCCAATGGAGTCCGGTTACCGTTTATCCGCCGCTATTTTCGACGGTGTTTTAAAATTATATCTTTCTGCGGTTGTATTCTATTTTTAAAGTTAGTTCTGTAACCCTTTACTAACTTTAGGTAATTGCACACCGATGTAACAAAGCTACATCGCGTTTTAACTTTAACGCTTGCACGGTGCTACTTGCATTGGGGGTTGCGTGGACTCGAGGTATGGTGTCGGCCTCGAGTGCTAGAGGTTCCGGGTTCGGGCCCTGGTTAAGTCTGGGATTATTTTTCTGTTCACGTGGACTTCTAGTAATTGTCCCTGCTCTCTGGGTAGTGAGAGCGGACGCCCATGTACATTGTTGCACACGTTAAAAAAATCCCTTCTTCTTCTACTTCTTCAGCATTCCGAGCCCTTGAGGTTCATTGCTGCAGATATCACCCGCCTCCATTCATCTCTCTGATTAGCCTTCTCTTTCTAGTTGGTAACACAAAGTGTTTCCAGGTCTGTTTGGATATTATCTCTGCATCACCTTCTTGGTCTCCTTCGTGGTCTACGACCATTCATCTCCCTGGTGTATACAGGTTTTACTTCTTTGTCATCTGACATTCTTTCATTATGCCCCAGCAATTTCAGTTTATTAGCTCTCATGATGCCAGTGATCAGTGGTGATTTAAACAGATTATGAATTTCGTTGTTGCTTCTCACTCTCCATTCACCGCTGTTTGCATCTTTGATGGGTCCAAAGATTCGTCGTAAGACCTTGTTTTCGAAAACCTGTAATAAGGCTTTATCTCTTTTAGCTGTGTTCCAAGTTTCAGAGCCAAATAACTAGACTAATCAACGTTTTATATATTTAGATCTACGTGTTGCGAGATAGAGACTTTGACTTTAGCAGATGTTGAAGAGCTGTGGATACAATGCATTACAGATGTATTGGCTATGAAAGCATATAGAACTGTAGCACTGGATAGAGAAAGAGATACCTTCCAGCATGCTAAGAGGAGAGCGACGTTCTGCACGCGACCTGCTATTTGATAATGATGTATTTTACTAGAGGTTGCAAACGAACTCCCACCACATTTTAGATGTATACCTTTCGCATGGATTCTAGGGTCCTATGTTGGAGGGATGGGGATAGATTAGACCCAACAATAGTTTGTCGTTTATGGAGGTGTTTGATGAAACTTTGTTGGGAGAAAATGTTCACACGTCGCAGCTTTAGCTGTAAATCAGAATACTACGTCCGTTTTACCGAAGAATGCACTAGAAAAAAAAGAAGTAAAAGAAAAAGAAGAAGAAGAAGAAGAAGAAGGAGAAGAAGAAGAAGAAGAAGAAGAAGAAGAAGAAGAAGAAGAAGAAGAAGAAGAAGAAGAAGAAGAAGAAGAAGAAGAAGAAGAAGAAGAAGAAGAAGAAGAAGAAGAAGAAGAAGAAGAAAAGAAAAATAAGAAAAACAAAAAAAGAAAAAGAAGAAGAAGAAGACAGAGAAGGAGAAGGAGAAAAAGAAGAAACACAATAAAAGGAGGACGAAGAAGAAGAAGAAGAACAAGAAGAAAGAAAGAAAGAAAGAAAGAAAGAAAGAAAGAAAGCAAGCAAGCAAGCAAGCAAGCAAGCAAGCAAGCAAGCAAGCAAGCAAGCAAGCAAGCAAGCAAGCAAGCAAGCAAGAAAGAAAGAAAGAAAGAAAGAAAGAAAGAAAGAAAGAAAGAAAGAAAGAAAGAAAGAAAGAAAGAAAGAAAGAAAGAAAGAAAGAAAGAAAGAAAGAAAGAAAGAAAGAAAGAAAGAAAAAAAAAAGAAAGAAAGAAAGAAAGAAAGAAAGAAAGAAAGAAAGAAAGAAAGAAAGAAAGAAAGAAAGAAAGAAAGAAAGAAAGAAAGAAAGAAAGAAAGAAAGAAAGAAAGAAAGAAAGAAAGAAAGAAAGAAAGAAAGAAAGAAAGAAAGAACGAAAGAATACTGAAAGGAAGTGGGACGGGAGGAAAAGGAAGCGGTGGATTTGATACTGGTTTTTTTTTATTAACTAATAATTTTTTTTTAAATCAGTAGTTTGAGACTGGTTACTCAAAGGTCAACTATCATTCCAGTGTCTCCATCAGCACAAAGCGGCCTGTTGCCAAATGACTTGCTCCTGAATCTAGCGCTGGATGTTAAAATCAGGAAACTTAGAAATTATGAATTCATAATCCTGAGCTACAGACGCCGCCATTCTCTATACAGTCTGTCTATTTTCTCTGCTCCCCGTCTGGATGTCGGAGTCTAGTTGTAAGGGCGGGGGCGAAATACACCCACAGTCCTCTAACACGCGTTTCGTAAAAGTCAACTAATTAGTGAGAGCTGAGTTAACCAAGAGCCTGCAAACAAACAAGCTAGAGCTGTAAAGCGGATGTGCACGCAAAACTCACGATCTGGAATAAGACCAAAGTCCAGAAATGGACGAACAGCCATAACTTTTCACCGTAGTTTACAACCGGTGAACGCAAAGAAGAACAAAGAAAACGAAGATTCACTCTGAATAGTAGATTTCAGAATGCCTTTCCTTACTATGCAAGTCAGTATTTTAACGATGTGTTCAGTCAGCTTGTAATGCCTTTTGATTACCTGTTCTTTCACAGATGATTGATCCGGCCAACAATATGCTGGACAACGTGGACGATAAGATGACCCTGTTTGCTCCATCAGACGATTCTATGGAGGTCTTCATGGCTTGGTTCACCACCTGGAACAGAACCTCTTACTGGCAAGATCAAGAAAACATTATCTGGTTCCTGAAGTGAGTACAAATAGGTAGTCTAGTTTGAGAATGGAGGTGGAGGCAGTCTCTGCTGTCTTCGGCTGACTTGAGAATAACCTGTACACATGCCGTGATTGTTCACAGAGCATGCTGAGAAAGGTGAAAACAGGCATGCTTCGTGCAGAGTTGCAAGCATAATTTTAAAGGTCCAGGGTAGTTAGCATACTTTGGATATTTTCTACAGGTTATACCGGTGTGTTGGGAAATGAGCAGGCAGATAGACTGGCTGGCTCGGCACCGCTTGGTGATGAATTGATGTATGACAAGTTAGATATTGTGAGGGCCCTTTGGGAGCGAGTAAACAATACGGAGGCGCAGATACATCATTACGGTCTAAGAAGAATGGCGCTGCGAGGAGTTACCAGGGAATCTGGCCGACGCTCAACCCTCAGGGGATAAGACTGATATACAATCAGACGGTTACTGGTACCATCGGAATTAGAACTCCTGCTGCTGAAGATGGAAACTGAGCACTAATGGAAGTGTCCCGAGTGCTGTGATATCAATTCCTAATTCAACATGCCTCTTAGTGAATATATGGTCATAGCAGTATGATTTCATTGAACAAATGCCACTTCCCATGAGTGATGCAGTCAGTATCGCGCTAGACCAGTTCCTTTCAGAAATCTTCGTTGATAAACTTTAAAGCTATTAGGGAGTGTATTATTTTAAAACATTTCTGAATAAGATAAGAATTCTAGTACATTACCACTGGATCTTTTTTCACGCCTTTAAGCGTTTTGGACAAACAAGGCGAGATCTTTATTTTATACACTAATCGCAGTCAGTGGGTGATGTCGTCACCATTGCATGAGGCGCCTTTACTTTCCGTGGTTTAGCCTTTTACCCATTTAAGGCTGGGGGCCAAGGCCATTATTGAAGAAGAAAAAAAAATAAGTCCAGTTCTGTAAGCCCATAACCTTCTGACCCGCAGGCGAACGTTATAATTAACTTCTTCTCCTTCTTCTTTTGTCGTCTCATTGATACCACTGTGGCCCAGTGTCGTGGTTTTTACCATTGTAGCCCAGTGTCATGGTTTTTACCATTGTAGCCCAGTGTCGTGGTTTTTACCATTGTAGCCCAGTGTCGTGGTTTTTACCATTGTAGCCCAGTGTCGTGGTTTTTACCATTGTAGCCCAGTGTCGTGGTTTTTACTATTGTCGCCCAGTGTCGTGGTTTTTACCATTGTAGCCCAGTTTCGTGGTTTTTACCATTGTAGCCCAGTGTCGTGGTTTTTACCATTGTAGCCCAGTGTCGTGGTTTTTACCATTGTAGCCCAGTGTCGTGGTTTTTACCATTGTAGCCCAGTGTCGTGGTTTTTACTATTGTAGCCCAGTGTCGTGGTTTTTACCATTGTAGCCAAGTGTCGTGGTTTTTACTATTGTCGACCAGTGTCGTGGTTTTTACCATTGTAGCCCAGTGTTGTGGTTTTGACCACTGTAGCCCAGTGTCGTGGTTTTTACCATTGTAGCCCAGTATTGTGGTTTTTACCATTGTAGCCCAGTGTCGTGGTTTTTACCATTGGAGCCCAGTGTCGTGGTTTGTACCATTGTAGCCCAGTGTTGTGGTTTTGACCATTGTAGCCCAGTGTCGTGGTTTTTACCATTGTAGCCCAGTATTGTGGTTTTTACCATTGTGGCCCAGTGTTGTGGTTTTTACCATTGTAGCTCAGTGTCGTATTTTTACCATTGTAGCCCAGTGTCGTAGTGTTTACCATTGTAGTCCAGTGTCGTAGTTTTTACCATTGTAGCTCAGTGTCGTATTTTTACCATTGTAGCCCAGTGTCGTGGTTTTTACCATTGTAGCCCAGTGTCGTGGTTTTTACCATTGTAGCCCAGTGTCGTGGTTTTTACCATTGTAGCCCAGTGTCGTGGTTTTTACCATTGTAGCCCAGTGTCGTGGTTTTTACCATTGTAGCCCAGTGTCGTGGTTTTTACCATTGTAGCCCAGTGTCGTGGTTTTACTGGATTTGTCTTGCTTTTCTCGGGTGGCTTGAGTTATGGAGTCGGCTCAGTGGCCAAGTCGATGCGAACACATGACTTGAAGAAACTATTACACATGTACAACTCTTTGGGGAGTCGCCGCGGCGGAGCGGCTGGACACTTGCCTGCGGATCGGAAGGTCGTGGGTTCGCTCCCTGGCGGAGCTTGACTTTTTTCAAAAATGACCTTGGCTCCCAGGTCGGGCCAGCCTTGAGTGGGCACCAGATGCAGTCCCGGGAAATAAAAGAAGTCAGCGTGATGCTGACCACATCACCCATCTTGTGCCGATTGGTCTATAAAAATATAGGTCTAGCCCTATATACCCTATACGCTAAAGGCGTGGAAAAGGGTCCTTCACTTTTTTTTCCAACAGCTTTTTCCCTTCCTGAAACCGAACTGTTTCTTACGTAACTGGGGCTCTAGTACTGGTCGAGCTCTAAATTCTAATATTTTTGCAAACATCTTTCTAGTATGGCTCAGGATGAAGATGTCCTTGTCTTCTGTACGGTCTAATAAGTAATAAATAACTTAGTAAACTAAATTAGCCTTTTCACGCCATTGGCCAATCGGGTTTGTATCCAAACCTTGTAGTTCATATGATAAAAATTACGCCGTCTGTCTCTACGTCCCAAGACATTTCTTGATACCACTTTTAAGCTATGTCGATTAGAGACTTAAGTCAATTATCTGTCTTTACAAAAATATGTAATAAAATGGGTAGGAAGAAATTACCTTCGCAGTGAAAGAATCTAACCTCTGCGTTTTACCAAGGCTCCCCTAAAACTACTGATGATATATTTCCTGGCACATGTCCAAGACATCGCTCACAATCCGGCACAGAGCAAACTGAAAACGTCATAAGTTAACCTTAACTTCCTTACGCAGTGTTTGTTTAACTATGGCTGCTAGATTTTTCGAAAGCTGTTCTGAATGTTTGACCAGAGGGATAAAGCGATCAGATTCTAGGCAGGCAGACGGATGAGTTGCTTTTGCATGCCTTGTTTGACTTGAATATACATCTTGTCTGTTCCCTGGTGTCTGTCTTTTATAGCAGCATTTACTTTCTTTGCTGAAAAAAAAATAATCGTCACATTTAACCAGCATCCCTAGAGCTGGGTAGCTTTATGTTATAATTGTGACTAGGTTTATAGTAAATAAAATAAAGGTCTCTTTTCCACGCCTTTAGGCGTATAAGGCATATAGGGCTAGACTTATATTTGTATAGACCAATCGGCACAAGATGGGTGATGTGGTCAGCATTACGCTGACTAGGATTTATGGGCCACATAAAATGGCTTAACATTGTACGCCACTAAAAGCCAAAGAAAGAACTCCTGCAGTGTAGGTGGGATCAAAGGAGACAGTCCCATATACAGTTCCGAACGGTGACGAAGCCGTCTACCGGCCAGCCAATGGGCGAGCTGGTCACAAATGTAGAGCAGTGTTCCTCAGCCTAATTACACCTGCGGTCCATTAGAACAGTAGAAATTATTTTGCCACCCACATGACAGTTAACTAAAAAAAGAGAGAATAACAAACACCAAATAGCACATCGCAAAGTACCACGTTCGGCTAATGCGAGTTTTGCTGCTGCATAGATGTTAAAAACTCTTATGTATATGGCTGGATCGTTGTTTCTCATATGCTTAGCGCTTAAAAACATTTTTTCGATTTCTCCGTTTGGTATTTACTTATTGACACGCCTGAGAAAATATTTACACATACGGGAAGTCCTTGAGGTGTTGATCAGACAGAATGTAGAAGACCAACCACACAACCTAATTCTTTACATAAGTAAGCAGAATTATCTGGCGTTCCTTAGGCCTTCTCTAATATCGACGGGCTGCGGCTTACAGGTTGAAGAACATTGGTTTAGAGAACACACGCTCGTCTAGTGAAATTGTACAAATATTTGATGAACGCAACCTTTAGAAACACGCAGCATGTCATGTTGAAATCTGCTTGTAGGTAATTGCATTTCAAGATTCCATCTAGTTTCCTCTGTGATTTTCGAAGTTCTAGAACAAAATCGCTATTTTATTTGTCTGAAGGGACGAGGAAAATCTATTTTTTCTTTGCACTTTAATATGTTGACTTTACCCCCACTCCCACCCCTGTTTTCAAGCCTCCCCAGTTTACAACTACATTTAATTCAGAGATCGAATAATATCCTCTTTTTACCTCGTTGCATACGAATTTTCTTTGAAAGATAAAGCATTCTTTTTTTTGTGTTCTTAAATTGGTAGACAATAATGATCTTCTAAGAGATCTTATTCTTCTTATTTGGATGGAAAGAATTATTTTTTAAACACTAAACCAATCGTTGCATCCTTAAAAATTGTCGGCTTTAAACTGAGAATGTGAAGGCCTATTGCTTATTATCCTCAGGGGCGGAGTAAGTACGTCGATAAGAGACTCGCTTTCAAGTCCAGCTGCGACTTGCTGCAGCCCACGGTCGGTGTTCGAAACCGGGCGGCTCCCGGGGTTCACCCATTCTCTAGGAAAGGGGTACCAGAGTTGACACTCTGGGGTAAATGGAGGAACGTCGCTGTAGCTACGGAGTTACGTGCGGACAGCGACACAGACGACAGTTTCTTATCAATTGTCCGTACTGGTGGCAGAGTACCTACGGTTTATAACCGTGTTCACATCTTCCGACTATACCTTTACATTTTTACTTATGATCCTAAACAAGCTTTCCAAAGGTAGAGTGTATGCCATTGACATTTGAATATTCAGAAAAGAAAAGGATGATTCATGTTCACAATTCTGTGAAACGTATAAAATTTATCATTTTGTTTCGCCTATCTTTTTATTCAACTGTTTCCTATCGTTCAGTTCGTAATATTGTTTAGCTAATCCATTTGTTAAGTCTATCCTTTATGTTCAGCTTAGCCTATTGTTTAACTCATCGTAATGCTTTTACCAAAAGTTATTCACTATATATCTGCATTCAGTGCAATTTAATGTCGAGCTTGTTATTTTATCCAACTCATT